CTTTAATCTCCAAAATAATGGAGACTAATAAGACGTGACATGCAATACATAATCTGAGAATTAGTTTTGCTGTAAAGGGCACTGCAGAAATTTGAATAAGGTCTGTAGGTTAGTATAATATCAAAGTTAAATTTCTTCTATTTTGATAACTCTTCTGTGGTCATGTAAAAAGAATGTTCTAAATTTCTAGGGAAAACTTTAGTATATGGGGGGGAGGGTTGTCAGAGACATTGTGTTTGAAACTTATTCTTAAACAGTTTAGAAAAAAAATGGGGGAGATGTAAAAAATATGGTAACATTTGAAAACTCTGAGTGAAAGGATATGAAATTATCCAATTCTTGCAACTCTTCTATAAGCCTGAAATTATGTCAAAATAGGTAAAAGGAAAAAGTTGCTAATTTCAGTAGTCATACAGTATAAGATTAAGAAATAATAGCTGGTATCTATTACTCTAAAAGGCTTAGTGGTTGAGATTATGGACTTTGCTATCAGCCAGATCTCAGTTCAAGTCCCAACTCTGCCTATGTGACTTTGGACAAGTTGCCTATCTTCTCTGATCTTCTGTTGTATGGGAATAATGTAAAGAATTCTTATAGGATTTCATAAATCAAGCATGTTAAAAACTTGTACTAAGAGACATCAATTTTGGAGCCACACCGTGAAGGTCTGAATCCTGCTTAGCAATTTACTAGCTATGTGACCTTGAACAAGTTATTTAACCTCTGTGCCTCAATTTTCCCATCAGTAAATGGGGGGCAGAGCATAACAGTATCAAGGGTTCCTGTGAAGACTAAATAAGTAAATTGATACAAGTGATTTGAATAGTGCCTGACACAGCAAGCATTGCATGCACTGCAGTTATTTGCATTATCAGCCTAGGCCTCTACAGAATAAAAATTCAGATGTTAGCTATCATCATTGTTAAGTGTGTAATATTATCAACAATATAGCTTTTTTCAAGAGGTTTGGTGGTAAAGAGAAAGAAAATTTACTTTTTCCTCTTGAAATAAGAAAACCTAAGCACATTATAGAGACACGGGGAAAACAACACAGAAAGAGAAACTGAAAATGCAAGAGACACAGAATCATTTATGAAATGAAGCTGAAGGACCTCAGTTTTCCTCTTTATAAATATCATCTAAGGATTTAAGAGACATGATGAAGGTATAAGACTGAATGTACATCTTTAAACTTTGAATACACAGACACACATACTTATATATTTCTTCTTCTACAGAATGCATTTTCCTTTAATACCTACTAGGCTTTAAAATATTTAGTTTCTCATTTAGAGATACACCTACAATCTTTCTCCTCCCGCCTAAAGTTCATTTGGAATGAAAACTTTACCTAGTCGGTTTGGCTCAGTGGATAGAGCATCAGCCTGCAGACTGAAGGGTCCTGGGTTCGAGTCCGACCAAGGGCACATACCTCAGGGTTGCAGACCTGATCCCTGGCCCTAGTCAGGGTACATGCAGGAGGCAACCAATTGATGTGTCTCTCTCACATCGATGTCTCTGTCTATCTGTCTGTCTGTCTCTCTCTTCCACTCTCTCTGAAAAGCAATGGAAAAAATATCCTCAGGTGAGGATTATAAAAACACACACCAAAAAACCAAAAAACAAATAAAATGAAAACTTTAAGCAAAATACAGGAAAAAAATACAGAGAGTAAGAAAAGATTACAAATAAGCAAAGGCTTTTCTTTTTAATACTATGTTTTTAAATTTCATCTTTGGACTGTCAATAATATCCACGGGGAAATGATACTAGCAGACAGATGTCTATGGATCAATAAGAAAAGATGCCTAGATACTGAGATAAAACAAACATGTTGTAAAATAGTTTGTATATATTTGTATATAGAGAGAAAAGGTTAATATTAATGGCAAATGGATTTTTTACTTCAATTGCCATCTTTATAGAGCAACTATTATGTCTCAGATACCAGGAATTAAAGAATAATCAAAAAGGAAAATAATATTCCAGGTGCAACGGGATGTTCTCATTTCAATACAATCTGCCTTAAAAAGGTGACAGAATTCAGACCTACAGAGCCAATCTTAACTATCATTAAGCACATCCTGTCTGTCAGTGAAATGCACACCACTACACTGAGTTCATTTCACAAAGGTTTCTGGAAATTTTAGCAATTTAGAATGTAGTTATACAAAATCATAATAAACTCACTTATTTAAAGAATATTACACATTTCTAAGAAAACAGAAAATAACTGTCCAACTGCCAAGTAACCAAAAGTGCCTCATCAGTTAAAAGACATTCTAACGAATTTAGGACTGAAGGAACAATTCCTTGAGAAATCATTCTCCTTTCTGTTTGCTTCATTATTCCATAATGCCATCTCTCAGGGGGGAAACCCTAAAATTAACAATTACAGACAAAAGAAACTCCCCAAACCTCAGTTTTATACCAAACTGGGAACAACTTTTATAGGGCTATAGCTGGGCCAGCCTTTTTGAAAGGGGCACTGAGAAATGATGATACAGGAAAAAGATTCACTGCCATTATCACTGGAATCTCAATGCCCACTAAGTATCTGATTCTACCCTGTAATTTTCTGCATATCTGCAATGATCTGAACAAACTATTCTTAAATGTCCTTTATTTTTCTGCAGCGTCAAGATAGTTACCTTTCTCCCACCAACCACAGACTGCTACCCAAATGGGGGACCAGGGATATGTGGGAGGAAGTGATGGGGAGGGCAAACTAAATCCCAACAGAAACCATCATCGCTCAGCACCCTTCACCTTTCTGCAGCTTTTAATTCACCCAGGTGAAGAGAGACAATGGAAAAACAAAGGAAATAAGGGAGAGCTGAGATTCACTGTAAACCTAGTATATCACAAGCACTGTGAAGTATTATTATATTTAATCTTCCTACAGTACAGGTGACGACTTGTAGAAAAGACTTTCTGCAAGTAAGTCCTGGAGCTGTGATGAGAACCCAGTGCGCGATTTAAAACCTGTGCTCAAAATTTTTCTCATTTCACTCAACCTAATAACAGTAACAGTAGTTATTATCCAAAATATAATCCTCTTATCTTCTTTTAAAGAAAAACCTTTTCATTATGGAAATTTCAAAAACATATGAAAGTAGAGAGAGTGTAACAACTGTGTGGCCATGGCTCTGCTTCACCTATGTGTCCTTCTTATTTCACCTACCCTTCGTCCCACCTTTTTTTCTCCCTGAAATATTTAAAACAAATGCAAGACACTTCATTTGACCTCAGAATGTCTCTAACAAATTAGATCTTAAAAAAAATAACATTACCACATCAAAAGCAATCATTCCTATTACTGAATGCGCAATTCTTCTTAAAATTTCTCTAATTACCTTAAAAATGTTTTCTTGCAGTTGGTTAGCTTAAATCAAGATACTAATAAGGTTCACACATTAGTTCTGGAAGATGTATCTCAATATATGACAGTTCCCTCCCCTTTCCTTTTTTAAAATGCCATTTACATACAGGCATACCTCAGAGATATTGTGCAATGTTCAGTGCACCGCAATGAAGCAACTATCGCAATAAAGCGAGTCAGAATCTTTCTGCTAGTAGAGGTTCTTGCCTTCAGTTTGTAAAAAGAAATGCAAGCTCAGTGAAGTGCAGTAAAACAGGGTATGCCTATATAGGTTTTAGGGTTGATACAATGTGTCTCTCTAGCTCCTTTATTTCCTGTAAACTGCTATGGGCTTGATCACATTGTGGTTCACCTTTTTTCATTGTTGTTGCAAGACTGCTCAGGTGGTGCTATTTATTCTCCACTGCATCACCTCAGGAGGCATTGGATATCCACTTGTCTTCTATTAGTGTTATAGTGTTTCTAGATCCTCAGATTTGAGATCCTAAAAGCTTTTCTGATACCACATAGCACCATGTGCAAGTGGTGATCGAGCTACAAGGTTAATCCAGAGCTGACTGAGAGACAACAGAGGTTATCAATCAGCAGTCAGGGAAGCAGGGCAGGAACTGTCCCTCTGATAAGAGGCCAAAACGTACAGAGAAGAGATGAAGGATTTAACCACAGATGGAGAGAAGGCCAGAAGATAAACAAGATGCTTAAAGAACAAGATACTGGGTTCCAAAGACATTTTACACACTTGTACCAATAAATGTTTCCAAATAAACTCAGAGAACCCAAAAGTTCTTTATTTTATGATGTTAGTTTACCCAAACAGCCTTACAAAATTTTCCACCTTTCTTGCTTAAGAGAAAGGTGGCTGATCTCTAAGTCAAAGGTTCCCAGCTTAACTACAAAGAAGATTCTCCTGGGAACTTTAAAAATACTGGAGCATGGGTCCCACCCAAACAATTCTGATTCAAATGGTCTAAGGTGAGGACCAGGTTATTATTTAAATAGTATTATTTAAGTCTTTCTGGGTGACTCTAATATGTAGCCATAATTGAGAAGCCACAGCTCTTAGCTAAGGGTAAGAATAGCAGCTAGTATTTATTAAGCATGTGTTGCATGTAATGTACTGTTCTAAGTGCTTTACATATGAGTTTATTTTCTATTTTACAAATGAGGAAACAGAGAAGTCAGGTAACTTGCCTAGGGTCACAGAGCAAGCCAACAGCAGAGTTAGGATTATATACCAAGAAGTTTGGATCAAAAGTCCATGCCCTTAATGACCATGATATACTGCCTAAGCATGAATTATACTTGTATTCTTCAACCACAAATAAAACGGTAAAAGAAAACAAAACAATGAGATAACTTTCTCCTTTTTAGAAATATTACAGCAGCATTTTGTTGCAAAGGTACGAGCAAAGGCTTGTTAGGAAAGTAAATAAACAAACAGGGAAGAATCTTCTTTTTTCAAAAGATTCAAATTTGAGATTTGCACACATGCTTTCAATCATTTCCCACACATCACCCATACAGCACAGTTATTCAATGTTAAGTATCAAAAATTGCTTTAGCTTTAAAACTCAGGGTAATAATGTATTACATGTACGTTTACAAGAAAATTTCCTACCTATTTCAGTTCTGCTAACTCCAATTCCATTATAAATTCTCAAGTAATTTAAATGACAAGAATCAGAATCTTCAATGTCAAAGTCACCAAATTTGATGCGCACTCTCTCTCCCATCTTTACACGGATCTCCCATTCACAAACGGTGCTGTTGGGATAGGTCTGTGGGTAGTTTATGGACGTAAGGGTTCCACTTTCAGGGCCTAGTACAGTGTGTCCACATCCATCACCTTTAAAAAAAAAAGTTAAAAGAACAATAAATTATTCTGATATCTTTAACTTATACTATAAATAATTAGGATTTTTGTGAAGATTTTTAAATACGTATGATATTAGATATTTTATACCACCAATACTTTCCTTATACAAGATCAAACAGATATCTAAATGCAGGAGCCAAAAGAAGCCAGGTTAGGTAAAAATAACCAATGACTACCTTTATAATTTATGTGTTCAAAGAACCTTCCAATCTGAATTCGAAGTAAGCACAATTTGGCAAAAAATATATGTACATGTCATAAATTCAAACTTTAAGAGTATCAATTCAAAGTAATTGTTTAAAGTAAATGTAAACTATAAAAATGAAAGTATGTGACTAGCTTCCTCTATTTACAAACATCACAAACCCCTTCTATAAAATCTGCGTGGTGAATGATCTCTTAAAACACTTACTATATACTAAAGATTATGCAATTACCAACCATATTACACACCGCAAGGCACTCCTTCTTGAAGGCATTAAAACAATATTTATTGAAGTTTAATTTTATATTCTACTGAAATTTGACTTTTTAGTAATCCCTATCCAAAAGCCTCAATGTTTCCCTACAAAATGATGAGAAAAATGCTTATTTAAAGATTAGGAAAAATATCCTTCATATCTTGGTAGCAGCATTATTTGCTCTAGAAATTTCTTCAGTAACTGTATATGAATGAAAATGAAAACTTAGGTAACTTAACATATTGTCTGTAAAAATCAAATATGTGTATCTTTCCCTTTCTTACGAAACATGTTATTTTACTGAGCAGGAGGCATGTGCTGCTGCTCCAATTGTACAGTTGAGCATTTCTTAATGACAGGATTCAAATACATTCTTTCTAATAGGAAGATTAATACAGCTTTTCAAAATGATAGTATTTTTCCCTTCAAAAGAGCTATTGATAATCATTGTTTGGAATAGTTTGGTGCTTACACAAAAAACAATATTGAAAGTGACACTGCTGGGTTTTAACCTTAATATGGATATAGATGGCTGTAACAGAATGTTCTATTATCTTGCTATTGTCGTGAATTATTATTTTTAAGAACAATGTAGTGCTGGTATCATTTACTAGAACAGATAAAAGCTTTAAAGGCCTATGAATAAGAACTTAACATAGTATCCAGCAAGCAGTAATTGCAAAATAAATGTTAATTAATGTTTATTAACCTATGAAAAAAATAATTTCCAACTAGTCTCAAAATGAACTTTAATGAAGAAACAACTCTGGATCTAGATTCTGATGACAGTGCTTCAAATCCTCTGTTGATAAAGAACTTTATTCTCAAATCCATACAAGTACTGTTACTTTTTCTACTTTCAAAGGTGAGTCCATAGGCTAGCAATCTGGTTTCCTAAACAAACCTCTATCCTAGAAAGCTTAGCTTTTAATCAATGTGAAACTTTACCTGTCTTCTACACCTGCTTTCATCCCACACACAAGAACTAGGCCTATCAGCTCAATAATATAATGTATAAGGGTGCCATAAAATAAACGTGAGTCTTTGTGTGATACAGTCATATTTTGAAAACATAAAACTTAGAATGTGATGCAACTCAGAGGGAAAAAAATAACCACAAATTTTCCCTGAAACTATCATGAAAATACCTTGAACATCTCTGTTGGATATCCTCTAAATTGAAAACATAGGGATATAAAACCCTCACTGTGAAAATAATCAAATTGTAATATAAATAACTTTTGAACAATCATTAACATTTTTCCTTAGAGAAAAAAACAACTATCCTATGGTAGTTTCTAACATGAAACTAGTCTGAAATGTTTTCTTATCATTGAAAAGATAAATACATGCTTTGTGGAAGTGTTTCGATCTTTAAAAAGTAGCCACTGAATAAATGAAACAGCTCAAAATATAAATGTATTTTCTTTGGTAAACAGAAACTAAGGCAGCTTCTCCCGTGATTGGAAGTGTTGATGGATTTCAGAAAGCCAAGAATTTCCTACGAACAGCTGAATTCTTGACTTAGTAATGGCAGACTGCTGCATTTAATGTATTCCCCATGGGCTGTTACTTAAGGTTGTGATTTTAATATGAATTTCAAAGAAAGTATAAGCAGAGTGTTAGTAGTTATCTTTTATGTCTTTATGTTCATATTTATGTTTGAGTCTCAATAAATACACAAAACGTTTCTTGCCCTTTCCTCCATAAAGCTTAATTTCTACACAAATTAATACAATACATACTAACTGATGAAAAACAGGACTTTAGTGCGCATGCTGATGAAGAAAACAATTAAAATGGAGCTGTCCTTTTTCAGTATCTTGTGCAGGGGGAGGGCACGAACAGTCCACAAGTAATGTGCCAAGAATGTTTTAAAATATGTGACGGAGTTCAGAGCTTCCTCCTCTCGCAAACAGGATGATATGCACCAGAAATCAAAGTTAGAAGAAAGTCTCAAATCTACTGCAGTGAACAAGTCTGAATGTTGCATATTTCAAAGACTATTTGATAAGTTTAACCTGACTAGATAAATAGCTTAGCTGGCCTAGCTAAACACCTACTGCTATGAGGTATATGTTTAGAATATTCTGGTTTGAAAGGGAAAGCTGGGCTTATACATATTCACTAGGTCAGCTTTCAAATGCTTTTCTCTGTTATTTCACATTGTGACCCTATACACTCTAGCATGTACAGGGTCTTTACTCTGTATTCCTGAGTCACTTAAGGGTTAAGGGGTCCCTACCTCGTAGTCTGAAAAACACTGTACTAGGCACCAGAAGGTCATAAGGCTGAATTCTCAAATCAAAGAAAGACCTGTTCTCACTTTTATCTCCAAATTAAAAAATGTGCTCCCAGGTTATTTTACAGCTCTTAAAAGTAAAGCCTATTCTACACCAAAATACTTAAAAAAACGACAAAATCACCTAATATACAGAGTGTGGCAAAAGTAGGTTAACATTTGTGAGTACAGAAAAGTTTATTCTTGAATTACTTTCCATAGGAACAACTGTAAACCTACTTTTGCCATACCCTATACTTAGGGCAATGGTTCTTAACTGGAGTAGGGGGAGGCCACCACAGGAGCAACTGTACCTCCCACTTGGGAATGTCTAAGGACATTTTTGTTGTCACAACTAGAGGGGTGGGATGCTACTGGCATCTAGTGGGAAGAAACCAGGGATGCTGCTAAATCATCTTACAATGCACAGGACAGCCTCGCGGAATAAAGACTGATCCATCGTAAATGTCAACAGTGCCAAGGTTGAGAAGTGCTGACTTAGAGCAAAGGCTAGGCTATCTCAGATAAGAAGACCCAGGTCAGTTTTTGGATGGTTTTCACTTCGACAAAGGGTAATACTGTTCTATTTGCTACGGGTAAAACCCAGGAAATAGTTTCCCCTCAAAGGTCAGCAGTTACATACACTGAAGAGTTTTACGTTCCCACTTCCCAATTTTTAAAACAAATAAATGGAATGCTTTATTTTTCTTTAAGTTAGAGGGGAAAAAAATCCTTTTCATTAGTCTTCAGACCTCAAATGATTTTTTTCTGGCTCAGGAACTCTTAACATTAAGGGGCAAATGCTGCTAATAGGGTCATGAGTAATAGTCTCTAAATGTTCTGCTTAGCTTTGTACACTGGAAAGAACAATGACCTGTGGCCAGGCTGTATTACCTACTATTATTCATTTTCACAAGGTAGAATTGACAAAAAGAGCATAACTACTACTGGAAGCATAGCTTTCAAAATGGGTATCATAGGAGCAATCCATAAACTCGTCAACAATCCCAACATCACCAACTCTTTATCCAGCTCCATCACCACCACCACCACCACTGTCAGCTTCTCCTCCTCCCCTAGATGGTCTCCATGAGACTATAACTGACCATAAAAGGTAGAAGCCTGATAATGTAATCTCTGAGTTTTATTTCAGAGGAGGAACAAACACTGGAATTTGATCTCACTGCTCCTTTGCTTGGCTGCAGATTTATCTCGGGGATTACTCACAGAACATGTGTTCACTTCCTCTGAAGAGTGTAGGGTCAGATGTGTTAAGCCAGATACAAATTTTGATATTGTTCCAGGAAAATAAATGAATAATTTTAACTCCTCATCCCCAGAGAAAACAAAAGGAACATTAAACACATTTAAATGACAATGAATTAATACAACAAAAATCATCTGGGGTTTTTTTGATAAGTATGTGCTTGTGATGCTGATTTCATGTGACCACCCCCACATATTAGTCACATTACTACTAATAAATAATATAAATTCTTACTTGTTGAATTATGTTAATATGAACACCATGCACCTTCTAAAAATATTTTAACAATAGCAAAGCTTGCACAAATATGTCAAAACTGCAGAGCAAGTAACTTTCATTACAGTCACTGTAAGCTATGAAAGGTTTATACTTTTCCAGTGAGCTTTCAAGGATTTCTTTATAACTGAACTGGTGCTCTGACTACACTTCCTCTAAGTGTGACTTCTGTAACGTCTTATAATTTCATCTGTGAGATCTTATAATCAACTGAAAAGAGACAGAGAGTAGAAAAGTGTTCAAAGGAATAAACTTCCAAGTCTTATCTAATATATCCTATTTCAGTTGGCTACAATGAAGATTTTTAATGCATTATTTAGCACTGAATTTTTAGACCAGAAGTATTGTATCAGTACTATTACTGTAAGATTTTTAAAGTTGCATCACTACAAATCTTAAATGGACAATTCAGGGTACTACTTTAATTTCACTCAGTATTTTTTTTAATACCACATAGGATGGATATGCATTGGGAGCCTAAAGAGGGTCACTGTGGATATTTTTAGGAAAAGAAATAGCTCCCAGCTTCATTCTTTTTTAAGCCCAACTTCACCTCTGCATTAGTGATAATTTACAAAACTGAGTAACATAAAGGAATGTAAGATGTATAAATTCTCTTCAACCCCCACCAAGCACATCTCTGCTTAGAACATAAGGTGGGCTCTGGTGTCATACAATGAACTTA